TCCTTCCCAGGAAAGGTATACCATCCCTCAGCCTCAAACTTGGATGAACAATAGTGGCTGCTATCACAAATAACAAACCACTACAAGTGTTAGGAAATCATCTCACCCCCAACTGGGATAGACTAACCTCTAACACTCTACGACAGTGTTCGAATGTAATTCAAGTCCATCACAACAACCATACAAGAGATACAATAACAAACATTTTCTCAATATCACAAGGAAGTCCAAAATCCCCAAATTTCACAATTTGTAATACAAGAGAACAATTTAAGAAAATAAGCAAGAGATCATCACAACATCATTTTATTACTCAACACAAAACACTAAGGTTCCAAAGTCAAGAACAAAGGAAAAATCAAGAGGAAAATCCATTCATCTTAAAAACTAGGGTTTTATGCCAAGAAAAGAGATTTAATGGTTATCCAACCATTACTTTGCTTAAAACATGGTGGTCATTACAAGGATACCAAGAAATAAAGATTTCATAGCGTATATATAAGATTTAAAGTCAAAATAATACATATAAATAAGTCATAGGCTCAATGTAAGAGAATAGGAAGAAACCCCCTACCTTGGTATTCTTGAAAAAACTAGGGTTTTTATCTTCTTGAAGTGGAATGCTCCTTTGATCTTGTGTTTTTTCTCTTTCTTTCTTCCTCTCTAAGGTTTTCTAGGGTTAGAGATGTTGAAATAGGGCTAAATGAGATGTCCTTAGGTATTTATAGTGAAAGGAAGGCCAACTATTCACAACTTAAAATTCAAATTTTTCGAAAACCTTTTAGAAGGTTTTTCATCGACCTTCCAGAAGGTTTGCCTATTAGACAAACTTTTTTATTAACCTTCTGGAAGGTTTCTCATCGACCTTCCAGGAGGTTTGCCTATTAGACAAACTTTTTTATTAACCTTCCGGAAGGTTTCTCATCGACCTTCTGGAAGGTTTGTCTACTGGACAAACATTTTCATTAACCTTCCGGAAGGTTTGTCATCGACCTTTTGGAATGCTTTTCCTACTGGATAAGCTTTTCCATTATCCTTCCGGAAGAATATTACTTTAACCTTTTGGAAGGTTTTTTATCCACCTTCTGGAAGATTTTGCCCATTGGATTAACATTTACCTTAATAAAAAGGTAAATGAACTAAATAAAGAGGTAATTCAATTAAGAGAAAGAACCAAATAACGTTTAAATTCCATCCCTCCCATGAACATAAATTCACACTCCAAATCTATAACTCATCAGTGTTCGTAATCAAAGTAGGAAATATTATAGTATTTTCGTCAGAGGAGTCCTACCAGATGTTCTACCGATAGTAGAAACCACAATACTTTCAGAATTTTTATCATACAGAGATTCTACTGGTAGGTTTTACTATTCTACCGATAGGTCAGACCATAGGAGTTTCTACCTGTAGGTCGATAAAGATTTCCACGAGAAGCTTAACTAAAGAGCAAATCTTGCTATATCTTTCGTGGATTCTCACACAATAGGAAGAGGAAATAAATTTGTGGAAGATATTTATCAAAGATCTTAAGATTCTCCTTCCAATCATAATAAATAGAAGAGCTTTTAGGGAAGACATAATCATGTTGGGAACATCTTTTGGAGTTTTCCTCTGCATTATTGTTTAGAGAGTTTTAGGTTTTTCTTGAGAGTTCTTGCTACTATTCTTTATTTTCTATGTTTTGTTCTTTCATTTGTTCTAGCAATCTTACATTCAGTAGCCTTTAATTTTAGAGTTTGTTATTTAAGTTCTGTTTTTCATTATAAACAATTACTTTCAAGTCAATTTCTACTTTCATGAATTCGATTATGTTTTCTTTAATTTCCTGTGTTATTTACTTTATCATATGTGACTAGTATTTATATGAATAATATGAAGAAGGATTCCAAACATATGAATTGGGGTTATACTCTAAACTAGAGTTTTAACGTTTATGTGATTGTTTGATTGAAGTTGTGTTTTTGGAAACCTATTTTGTTGGCATACTTCCCAATTTCATGTATACAATTGGTTATGGCATGGGTAATTAGCGGTGTTTTCTACAACCAGTAAAATATTGATTATTTCATCATAAAATATCTCTGAATTACTAATGATTCTTTTTGAAGTGTTTAGTTGAACATCATATGTCTGTACTAGTTTGAATACAAAAGTAGATGACTTATAGATTTAGAGTAGAAATTCTAGTTCATAGTGAGATGAATTCTAAAGATTATATAGTTTTTCAATTATTAAATTTCATTTTCAGTAGTGATTAATCTCAAAATTCATAATTTTAAAGAACTTTTTCCTTTTTTTCTTTATCAGCTTGGATTCCAATTCTTTCTCTAAGGAGACGGTCTTAGACTTTTTGTTCGAGTTACTACACGATACTATTCTCTTAAGCTTGTGAGCTTTCGTGAAAATACAACACCTTTGGAGGGCAACCAATAATGAAACTGAATCTAATTGGAAAAACCAAAATAAAAAATGTTATTTGGACCTAATTTATGGACCTAATCTATGGATAGAGTTCAATACAACTAATGAGTACATAATATTGCATTTTTCATGTCTCATTTGTTTATTTTAGCTATGTTAGTTATTTATTTCCTTTATTTTAGCTTAGTTTGTGTTTTATGGAGAATATTCGTGCTTGCAGGTAAATGAATATAAAAGCGAGGTTTTACACGCATTTTGATGTTATGAAAGATTATGGGAATGAGTGAGGAGATCCAAGAGTTGAGTCAAAGAGCATTGCAAGCGTAATTGAGAAAAAGGCCAGTTCGACTGGTAGGTCTTTTACTGGTTCAACAGCAAGCACAATTGAGTTATACTAATAGGAGTTCATTCCTATCGGTATAAGTTAAACATAGACCTTTGCTATTGGTAGGTCGATATTGTGTTACTAGTAGGTCATAAACAGAAAATTGTTCTACTAGTTGTTGTGAAGAGCTGCTAGTTCGTCAGATACAGAGAAAATTTCTACTGGTAGATCAAATAGTGCTTCCTACCGGTTCATCAGTGTTATAATTCGGTGAATAAGGATTTTGAACTAACTATGGTTTTCCAATAGATTGATTTATTTTTGTTGATTGAATAATTAACGTTGAAAACATGGGTAATATTCATATCTTCTTATTTATCTGTAGACAATTTATATTTGATATGGGTAATTCTTAGAATCATTGCAATTAACGTGGATGTAATTCTTTCAAAATTAATGCAATCAATTTAAATACACCTTCACTACTGTCCTGATTTTAAGTTGAATATTTTCCTTTCAAGGGCGTTTGATTATAACCTTGAATGAGTTATGAATTAAGTCAGAATTATTATTTACAGTGAGATGAACTCTAAAGATTAATTGGTTTTTTTTAACATTGTCTTTTAGTTTTTCAATCAATAATACAATTTGTCAAAACCCAAAGATTTTTTTTTTACTTTTGTCACTTTGTCAATTTGTCCTTTGTTTTTCCTATGGAGACGATCTCAGTAATCGACATAGTTACTAAACTATATATTCTTGGTTTTGGGAACCTATTTCACCATCAATCCTTTTCTGAGACCCAAGTAACAGCCATTAGATTAGTAGTTGATTCCATCTAACATTTAAACATACAACTAATTCAACAACTGTAGTAAATTAGATCCCTCCTTAAGTTATCAAATTAGGTCCCTATAGTATTCCTCTACCTTCACAATGGAGAAGACAAGTTGGGTAGAGATATCAATAACAAGCACCGACAATGGATGTGATAAAAAAGAGTGAATCCGTGGGGCATTTCTATGACACTGTGCCGTCAGATAATCTAAAGCTATTAAGTTCTTGAGCAAACAAAAAAATGTGGAGAATTGATTGGGCTGATAGGTAAAGTAAGTCAATACAGTTAATTCAACTAATGTATTGCAACCACAGAATTAGAAGAGAACAAAAAAGACAATTTCTGCTATGCAGAATAAATGGATTACATCAATTACCGCATGTCCTGTGAGGAACAATGAAAAAGTTAATTTTGCACTCAAGAATTTCGCAATAAAATGAAGATCGAGATAGGAAGCTAATGGAAAAACCTTCTTGCCTCCATGGTGAGGACAATCAATACCTATCTAAAGAAATTCAACCAAGAGAGAGTTAGAGCAATGCTAGGTAGTGATGGCAGTGGATTGGGAAAACATAAGTTTTCTTCTAAATCCGTTCCGTTTGGACTGAAACTCATACCTGTCCCATTCCTACTACTCCTTCTAGACAAAACATAAGTTTTCTTCTAAATCCGTTCCGTTTGGACTGAAACTCATACCTGTCCCATTCCTACTACTCCTTCTAGACAGGTGATACATATATATCACAAATACACAAATTCTACCCACCCGCCTACTCATTAATACACATACAATATCACAAATTCTACCCACTCACACACTCTTTTCTTTACCAAAAACAAAACACCTTACTTTCTCTCTCTTTTTATCCATTTGTTATATAATGGGGTTACTTTCATTAGTGAGGTTTTATGATTTTTGTTTTAATTTTTGTTTATGTTATAAAAATTAATTTATTATGGACGGTGATGACAGTGGAGACAAAAACGGGGACGAGATCAAATTTTACTAATTAAATGTTGACGGAGCTTAAAATTTCTCCGGCAAACAGGTGGATTAGGGATGAACTAATATTTTTGAATCGCGTACAAGGTGAAAACTACTCCCCAGCACCCGCCCTATTCCACTGTCATCCCAAATATTAGGGGAACTTAAAAGAGTTGAACAAATGAAAGGAAACCCGTAGCGGAAGGGTGCAAAAGGAAAGGCAAGCCACAAATATGTTCCAGGGAATTGGGACCTATGAACGGTCCTAATGTAAACAGTCCATGCTATAAATATGGATTGATGGATGAGGGTAACATCCTCAGCGCTAGTCGGAAGAAGAAACCCCCATCTTCCTATTGAAACAAAATAATTCCACCATAATAAAGGGAGCGTGACAGTTGGGAGAGAGAGTCACAGCAAGAGAAACAATGGGTAACATAACATTCTTAGCGTTATTGCTGTGCCTCTCCGCTGGGGCGTTGATAGTGCAGGCTGAAGACCCTTACCTCTTCTTTGAATGGAATGTCACTTATGGAACCATCGCTCCATTGGGAGTCCCCCAACAAGTCATTCTCATCAACGGTCAATTCCCAGGGCCGAGGATCAACTGCTCCTCCAACAACAACATCGTTGTCAATGTTTTTAACAATCTCGACGAGCCATTCCTATTGACCTGGAATGGCATTCAGCAGAGGAAGAACTCATGGCAGGATGGAACCCTTGGAACCATGTGCCCTATTCAACCTGGGACAAACTATACCTATCGCTTCCAGGTTAAGGACCAGATCGGAAGCTTCTTCTACTACCCCTCCACCGCCTTTCATAGGGCATCTGGTGGCATTGGTGGCCTTCGAGTTAATAGCCGATTGCTCATCCCCGTTCCTTTTGACGAACCTGCAGATGACTACTGGGTCATCATGGGGGATTGGTACACCAAGGGCCACAAGGCCTTGAAGAAGTTTGTGGACAGTGGTCGCTCCATTGGCAGGCCTGATGGCATACAGATCAATGGCAAGTCCGGCAAGATTGGCGACAAGAGCGAGCCTCTCTTCACCATGGAGCCGGGTAAGACTTACAGGTACAGGTTCTGCAATGTTGGGATGAAGACATCTCTCAATTTCAAGCTCCAAGGCCATACCATGAAGCTCGTGGAGTTGGAGGGTTCCCACACAGTCCAGAACTTATATGACTCCCTGGACTTGCATGTCGGACAATGTCTCTCAGTGTTGGTCACCGCCAACCAAGAGCCCAAGGACTACTACTTGGTGGCTTCCAGCAGGTTCACTAAGAAACCGATGACATCAGTGGCCATCATTAGCTACACCAACGCCAAGGGCCCAGCATCTCCAAAGCTCCCACCATCCCCACCGGAGAATTCAGAAGGCATCGCCTGGTCCATCAACCAGTTCCGCTCGTTCCGTTGGAACCTTACGGCCAGTGCTGCTCGCCCCAACCCTCAGGGTTCTTACCATTACGGTAAGATTAACATCACCCGAACCATCAAGCTGGTTAACTCCAGGAGTAATGTCAACAACAAGCTCCGGTTTTCCATCAACGGTGTCTCACATGTGGACTCCGACACTCCATTGAAGCTTGCGGAGTATTTTGAAGTTGCAGACAAGATGTTTAAATATGACACTATGGCTGACGAGCCCACATTAAAAAGTGAGAAGGTCACATTGGCTCCCAATGTTGTCAATGCCACCTTCCGTAACTTCGTTGAGATCATCTTCGAGAACCACGAGAAGACAATCCAAACGTGGCATCTTGATGGGTATTCCTTCTTTGCCGTGGGCATTGAGCCCGGGAGGTGGAGCCCAGAGAAGAGGAAGAACTATAACCTTCTTGACGCCGTGAGCAGGCACACCATCCAGGTCTACCCTAACTCATGGGCAGCAACCATGACTACACTTGACAACGCCGGCATGTGGAACCTGAGGTCAGATATGGGGGAGAGGTCTTACTTGGGACAACAGCTCTACCTCAGCGTTCTCTCCCCTGCACGCTCCCTGAGGGATGAATACAACATTCCGGACAACACCCCACTATGTGGCCTCCCCAAAGGATTGCCAATGCCCCCTCCTTACACTCCCTAAGCTCATTCAGAATTAATGAATATCTCACTTAACACCAAATTAGAATGAGATGGAGAGAGATCGACCCTGTGTCAAGAAGAAAATGAGTGATGGTGCAAAGGAAACAGCACAAATAAGACAAAAGGAAAGAGAAAAGAAAAAGATTTGGGAGCAGAGGGGTGTAAAAAAACTTAGTTTGGATGATAATGCATGTATTTGACCCTTTCGATACAAATGTCCTTAAAAGTTTTGTTTCCTTTTATTAACTAATGAAAAATACTATATACACTTAATTTTTTAAAAAAAAAATTCATTTGATAAATCATTACTATTGAATAATTTGTTTGTCCTAATAAATCAATAAAAAATATAATAGATACATTATCAAATCAACTTTTTAAGTCAATTTTTTAATTATGTATAGTATTGCCATAAAATTATTTTACTCCATCTTTGATTTCTTTTCGTTGGTTAGAATTATGTGTTTTCTCTCTCTTTCACGTGAAATTTTTCAATGGTTTTAACGAACGACATGACAGTGCCATGAAGTATATATTACCAATAAAAAATTATACATGCCCAATAAAAAACTGCCACTTATCACCTTGCCAGATTATTTTATTTTATATTTTTTGAAAAACCTAAATAATGTATCTCACAAGTTACTTTTGATGATGCACAAAATTGTTTTGTGTAATATCAATAGTCAAGGATATTAACGGGAGTGATTAATGAGCAATCAACGACAATCAATTGATAAAAACAGTAAATAATAGATCAACACATAGATTTATAGTGATTCGGTCTCGGATGACCTACTCCACTTTTGGGAATGACAACAGTAGCCTATGTTCTTTATTGATGAATAATAATACTCCGGAGAGATACAATGCTTTTAGGAGACAGAGAGAAAGCCATGAGTGTAGGGGGTGCGTAGAAGTTTTAGAGGCGTGCCCTCAATGTTAAGAGGGGCTTACATTATATAGTTAGGGCAAGACAGTAACGTGGGTGAGTACACTTCTACTACTTTGGTAAGTATAATTATGGTAGGAGATCTCTGCGTTTATTTCGATGTTTACTCCCTCGTGCTCCTATTCTTTCAGAGGAGGACTCTCAGTTGGATTGGATTTGATCCTCGTCTTGATCCTGGACCTGTCTTGAGTTAGTGTGACTTGGACTTGGATTGGAGCTCTAAGGTGAAGAGGAGCAAAGAGGGAGGCACCCAAGGGGCCAACCCAGGCGCCGCCCAAGGGCTGCCAAGTCTCTTGGGCGTTGGCCTTGGGGTTTTGGGCGTTGACCTATTGATGTCTTTCTTTCCAATGGGTCCTTCGAGCTTTCTCGGATTGTTTTCATTGGCCTTACCCAGTCAAATTCGTGCTCGTCAACTTTTGTGAAAGACTCTCATTCGGTGTATACTCCATTTTCCTATGATACTGTCACATGATGTATCTGGCTCTTCTAAAATTTCCTCTTCTTTCACTATAACTAAATAACAGGCGTCAGCCATCGAAACAAGAAAGAAAAGAAAAAGGATCAGAATAGGAGTGCATTTTTAGCTAGATTGCTGGTATGTTTTCTGGGTGTTATAGTATGGAAAAGTAATTTTTTGGTAGAGTACTTTCACTTTCCATTCAATAAAACTTTGACATGTGTAATTTTTTTTTATTATTTAATGTTTTATCCTTTTTACCATCAATAAATACAAATCAACAAACTAAATCTATGACCTTTGATCAACTTCGAAATGGCACCTGTTGGATATTTTGTCGAAACATAGACAAAATACTAATTTGGGTTGGATCGGATATGTAAGTTTTTACATTAGTGCTCAAACACTCGAAGAAAACTCAAATGAAACAAAACACTCTTGTTATAGATCTTTAGTTTTTGGCCTTGAATTGCAATTCATAACAGACAGACACCTCTTTATAGCTAGACCATGGAACTCGGTTACACTGTGCATGCTATGATGCAATAGGTGAAGAGCATCTTCAAAGGTGCTCTTCAAAATAGTTAGTCAATATATATTAAAATATTAAATTATTTATTTTAAAGAGTTACTTTTATAAAGTTATTTCAACCATATTGTCTATTTTAGCTAACTACTATTGATATTTTAAGTCAAAAATATTGCCTAACTTGATACATCATCAAAATGTAAAATAGCTAGTTTCTTGGTGTGCAAACAAAGTGATTTGGTTCTCCAAATCTAAAATAGCTAGACAAAGAGGCTCTCTAAATGTAGAGAGCCATTTAGCCCAACCGTAAAATAGCTAAACCCTTGGAGTAAAATTTTATGATTTAACTGTTTATTTTAGTCAAGAAACATAAAATAGTTAGTCACTAGGAAATGCTCTAAAGCTTGGGCAATGGTCATACCCACCACATTTGAACATGAAATAAAAGCTTTTAACTTTTAAAGTTTAACCTTTTTTGGCAAATATATGGCCAGTAGACTTTCCACTCTGAAAATGTATTAATATTGAGAATAATGAATGCCTTATATTTATTAGGCCAAAAAGTCTGCAAGCTTTAATGCGGATAATTTCTATTTTGTTTTGCTTGCATATCTATTGTTGTTAGGAAATTGTTCATTTATAATTAACTAATTATGGGAAGTCACAATGTAAATTGTTGATCCCAAAAGCTGCACCTTATGAATGTGAGATGATCTGGCAATTAAGGGAGTTCCTGCAAGGGAAGTAGAGGACTGGAGGGGCTCTAGTGGTCATATTTCGATAATAAAGTCAAAAAGAGTATAATTGACTGAATTGGAATTACCTGGGAGAGAATTAATTACCTGAGTCATGGCTGTCATGATCCCTTTATAGGTGAGCCAATTGTGTCGTTTGAGCTCCTCAACTACTTTTCAAATAAGGTGGCAGAGAAAGTGGAACGTCCTTTGAGGGATTTGAAACTGGTTTGAGCTACTCTTCAAGTGGTTGGTTGTGCATTGAGTAGCGATATGGGCTAGCAAGCTGCTAGGAGCCCTCTTATTAAGAAAGAGAATTAACGTGCCAAGCTCGAGCCTTTGTATCAGGCCCACGTGATGAGCTTGAGCATACAAGTTGGGTTTATAACCATTTTATGCTCATCAGTTGCCCCTTGGTTTAAACTAATGGAAGACTGGCATCGTTCATTGATTAAATTTGCTTGTTAGAGACCTGAGGAGTGGAATCATCTACTTTGTACATGCAACTGCCAGAGAACCATTGTAGGCCCAGCGTAAAAAAACCCTCTTTCCTTCGTTCTGGTTCACATTCAAGAGCTCTAAGAAGTCTGGTACGCCTTTGCCTCTATGTGCTAACCGTGTTTTATTTTTCCTATTTCTGTAACACCCCAAAACACACCCTGGACGACATTACATTCTAAAATCATTCATATCATGAGAGCACTAATATAATCCCTTAAGAAATAAGACTGTATTTGTCATCCACGAATATTTACAACATTACCCAAAAAAATAAGTCCAAGTCATGTCTATTACATCTCAAAAATTAATTAAAAAAGCGCAGAGGAATAAACAAAAGAAGCTAGACTACACAATGTTCCAAAAGAATGTCCTAGTCTGATACAAAAGGAAAGAAGGTCGCTCTATGCGTCCATCTCGGAATCCACACTCCCGTCCAGTGGAGTCTCCCAAGTAGCGGGTTTCTCGACCTTACGTCCTCCTCCTCAAACAGGTAATCTGAAAAATGTTAGCGATAGGGGGTGAGCATGAATCTCTGTAGAAAAATTCTCACAAACCCATACAAGGTTTAGAAAAGAATTTAAAATGGTCGGTCTCAATTTTAACTAACATAGATACATAATATGAAATAAAGCAGCAACATTTAAAAATGATCTCAAGTTTATTTAAAAACATTACTTAAAAGAATAAACGAGCACCACATACAAATAATAACCATTAATTGTCATAACCAATTCCCAACAATTTTTTCGGTAGGTGGCATACTTTGTGGTAACCTCCCCCCCCCTTTAGGTCACATTTGATTCTCAAGCATCTTTACCGGGAACCTCTTGAAAATGGATGAACATCCTTACGTGGAACCTCTCACCAATCACTACATTATTTCCTAAGCATCCTTACTGGGAACCTCTTAGAAAGGAATGAGCATCCTTACAAGGAACCTCTCACTCATGTGCATCACAAACAATCCAACCAAGCATATAATTCCAACATTCATCTCAATTTACAGGCATCTATCCAAAATTCCCAAAATATATCATGTAACAATTCCACAACCAACTAAGAAAATACATGAGATCACAATAACATCATTTTTTTACCCAACACAAAGCACTAAGGTTTCAAAATCCATAATAAAGAAAGCATTTAGGAAGAAAATACATTACTCTCCAAAAATTAGGGTTTTAAAACTAGAAAGGAGATTTCATAGGTATTAAACCCTATTTTGTTCAAAACATGTAATCCTTGCAAAAAGCCTAAGAGAGGATGATTCCATAGCATATATATACCATTGATAGGCAAAACATACATATATAAATACCCTAGCCTCAATGTAAGTGAATGAGAGAAAACCCTTACCTTGAATCCTTAGCTTTGGTGTGAAGAACAAGAATATTTGATCTTGAATCACCCTTGAATTTCTTGTTTTTCCCTTTCTTTCTTCCTCTCTAATGCTCTCTAGGGTTCCAAGAGGTGTGGGGGTGTGAGGGGAGTGAAGAAAATGAGAGCAAATGAGATGAAAATGAGTTTAAAACATAGCAGCCCCGAAAAACACTGTTCACAGACTATTTTAAGTTTTTCCAAATTTACAGTTTTGGCACTAAGAATCTCCAATTTGATCCATATGACTACCTTAAGGTTTGTCGACATTCCGAATTCATTTTTAATGTTAGTTTAACCTAAAAACATTTATTTTTATGATTTATCTCAAAACTCAAGTCAACATATACCCAAAACACTAAAGTTTCTATTTTACCCATCCGAATCGACTATTAATGAAGTTTTACGATGTTTACAAATAAAAGGTGATAAATGGTGCTTCTTAAAGCCT